TTATTTAATTTTTAAACTTTCATGGCTAGAAACTTTAACTTCTTCTTTAACTTTCTTCTTGGCTCAAGGGAGGTAGTAATAGTTTAGAGTTATTTAATTTTCAAATTTAAAAGGCTTGAAAATTTGATTTGACTCTTCCCGTAGTTTAAGAGTGATCGCTATAATAGTTTAAATTCATTTAATTTTTAAACTTGAATGGCCAGAAAATTTAACTTCTTCTTGTTTTTCTTCTTCATCTTTCTTCTTGGTTCAAGAGAGGTCGCCATTGTTCGCCATAGTTTAGAATTATTTAACTTTAAAACTGAAATGGCCAGAAAATTTAACTTCCTCTTGGCCTATAGTTCAAGAGATGTCGCTATAGTTCGCCAAAGTTTGCCTATAGTTTTGATTTATTTAATTTTAAAACTTTAATAGCCAGAAAATTTAACTTCTTCTTGGCCCATAGTTCAAGAGGGGTCGCTAAAGTTCGCCAAAGTTTGACCATAGCTTAGATTTATTTAATTTTTAAACTTTAATGGCCAGAAAATATAACTTATTTTTGGTCCATAGTTCAAGAGAGGTCGCTATAATTCGCCAAAGTTTGACCATAGTTTAGATTTATTTAATTTTTAAACTTTAATGGCTAGAAAATTTAACTTTCTTCTTGGCTCAAGGGAGGTAGTAATAGTTTAGAGTTATTTAATTTTCAAATTTAAAAGGCTTGAAAATTTGATTTGACTCTTCCCGTAGTTTAAGAGTGATCGCTATAATAGTTTAAATTCATTTAATTTTTAAACTTGAATGGCCAGAAAATTTAACTTCTTCTTGTTTTTCTTCTTCATCTTTCTTCTTGGTTCAAGAGAGGTCGCCATTGTTCGCCATAGTTTAGAATTATTTAACTTTAAAACTGAAATGGCCAGAAAATTTAACTTCCTCTTGGCCTATAGTTCAAGAGATGTCGCTATAGTTCGCCAAAGTTTGCCTATAGTTTTGATTTATTTAATTTTAAAACTTTAATAGCCAGAAAATTTAACTTCTTCTTGGTCTTCTTCTTTAACTTTCTTCTTGGTTCAAGAGAGGTCGCCATAGTTCTCCATAGTTTAGATTTATTTAATTTTAAAACTGAAATGGCCGGAAAATTTAGCTTCTTCTTGGCCCATAGTTCAAGAGAGATCGCTATATTTCGCCAAAGTTTGCTTATAGATTAACTTTATTTAATTTGAAAACTGAAGTGGCCAGAAAATTTAACTTATTCTAGGCCCATAGTTCAAGAGATGTCGCTATAGTTCGCCAAAGTTTGCCTATAGTTTAGATTTATTTAATTTTAAAACTAAAGTGGCCAGAAAATTTAACTTCTTCTTGGCCTATAGTTCAAGAGAGGTCGCCATAGTTTGACCATTGTTTAGATTTATTTAAAATTTTTATCTTTAATGGCCAGAAAATATAACTTATTTTTGGCCCATTGTTCAAGAGAGGTCGCTATAGTTCGCCAAAGTTTGACCATAGTTTAGATTTATTTAATTTTTAAACTTTCATGGCTAGAAACTTTAACTTCTTCTTTAACTTTCTTCTTGGCTCAAGGGAGGTAGTAATAGTTTATAGTTATTTAATTTTCAAATTTAAAAGGCTTGAAAATTTGATTTGACTCTTCCCGTAGTTTAAGAGTGATCGCTATAATAGTTTAAATTCATTTAATTTTTAAACTTGAATGGCCAGAAAATTTAACTTCTTCTTGTTTTTCTTCTTCATCTTTCTTCTTGGTTCAAGAGAGGTCGCCATTGTTCGCCATAGTTTAGAATTATTTAACTTTAAAACTGAAATGGCCAGAAAATTTAATTTCTTCTTGGCCAATAGTTCAAGAGAGGTTGCAATAGTTCGCCATAGTTTGCCCATAGTTTATATTTATTTAATTTTAAAACTAAAATGGCCAGAAAATTTAACTTCTTTTTGGCCCATAGTTCAAGAGGGGTCGCTAAAGTTCGCCAAAGTTTGACCATAGCTTAGATTTATTTAATTTTTAAACTTTAATGGCCAGAAAATATAACTTATTTTTGGTCCATAGTTCAAGAGAGGTCGCTATAATTCGCCAAAGTTTGACCATAGTTTAGATTTATTTAATTTTTAAACTTTAATGGCTAGAAAATTTAACTTTCTTCTTGGCTCAAGAGAGGTCGTAATAGTTTAGAGTTATTTAATTTTCAAATTTAAAAGGCTTGAAAATTTGATTTGACTCTTCCCGTAGTTTAAGAGTGATCGCTATAATAGTTTAAATTCATTTAATTTTTAAACTTGAATGGCCAGAAAATTTAACTTCTTCTTGTTTTTCTTCTTCAACTTTCTTCTTGGTTCAAGAGAGGTCGCCATTGTTCGCCATAGTTTAGAATTATTTAAATTTAAAAGTGAAATGGCCAGAAATTTTAATTTCTTCTTGGCCCATAGTTCAAGAGGGGTCGCTACAGTTCGCCAAAGTTTGACCATAGCTTAGATTTATTTAATTTTTTAACTTTAATGGCCAGAAAATTTAACTTCTTCTTGGTCTTCTTCTTTAACTTTCGTCTTGGTTCAAGAGAGGTCGCCAATGTTCGCCATAGTTTGCCCATAGTTTATATTTATTTAATTTTAAAACTGAAATGGCCAAAAAATTTAACTTCTTTTTGGCCCATAGTTTAAGAGGGGTCGCTATAGTTCGCCAAAGTTTGACCATAGCTTAGATTTATTTAATTTTTAAACTTTAATGGACAGAAAATTTAACTTCTTCTTGGTCTTCTTCTTTAACTTTCTTCTTGGTTCAAGAGAGGTCGCCATAGTTCTCCATAGTTTAGATTTATTTAATTTTTAAACTGAAATGGCCAGAAAGTAGTATAGCTATGGGGCTATCAGGGCAGGTTCTGATCTCGGCTAAGTTACCCCCAGTCGGTAAGGTAGATTTCTACATTATCAGCAGCTAGTCGAATTCAAACCCAGTTGGTAAGGTAGGAATCTGTTTTACCGACCGAGTTAGTTTACTAGCCATCCAACAGAAGGCGCCACTAGCGAATTCAAATCTGCTTGGCGGGAAATTTAAAATTTATTAGATAATTTAAATTGGCTTGGCCGCCATTTTGTTTTACCGACCGAATTAGTTAAGCGGATACCCAACAGATGGCGCCACTGTCGATTAGGTCAATTGGACTATAAGAATTTTTAAATTTTGGCGGGAAATTTAAAAATTTATTTGACAATTCAAATTTGCTTGGCCGCCATTTTGTTTTACCCACAGAGTATTGGTTATATGTTTACAATAGATAACGCCACTATTTTTTTAAACTTATAAAATTTTTAACAATTAAAATTAGTTTGTTACTTAATCTGTTTAACCGACCGAGTGTCAATATGGATCCTCTCAAGTCCTCAACAGATGAGGCTTATTTATAAACTATTTACTAGAAATTATTTTTTGATAAATATAATTATTAGATATTACCTAAATGTTTATTGCTTTATTATTGTTTCATTATTATTATATTGCTTATTATTTATAAACTTTAATTGTTTTAAGGTAAGTTTTAAATATGTTACTATAATGAATTAATTATTACTACTTAAGATTGAGATATACGATAGATGTTATTTATTACTTATATATATATATAACTTATAAGCAATTTATTATTTAAGGTAAGTTAAATAATTTAATTATTCTGTAATATTAGTTATTAATCACTTTTAAATTTAAACATAATTTCGCGCTAAGTTATATTTTGTTTTCGATATATCGAAATAATTCGAGCGAGAATAATAGTCGCTCGTTACAGAGGTTTTACCGGCCCCAGAAGAATGAAACGATTCTCATTGGTTGATTTCTACTGTTAAAAATTTAAGTTAGGTTTTTAATTGAAATTATTATGAAAATATTGTGTTAAATACGTTTTAACCATCATGCTTCTGAGATATTAATACAATTATTATTATAAACAGTTAATTTAAAGGTACCTGAATTTTTAATTATATAAATCATTTATGTACTTTCCTTGCCTTTTTACTAGTTTACTGTAAGGCGGGAAATTTTAACTTACATTAATCAATATGATACATTATTTTTTTCTTATAATTATATATTTAAGTATATTTTCTAAATATTCATAAGATTATTTATTTGATAATATGGTAATAATGTAATATATGTGAGAATTGTGGAAAATTTGGGAAATTATTTCAATTGTGTCGTCCCTGAGCCGCCATGTCAATGTCTAACCCAACCTTCAGTGCAAACAAATAAATGTTTACAGTTTAATAGTATTTCTAATAATATCGCATAATGCAGGAAGAAAATGTAAGTAGAATTTAATTACATACATAAAACTTATAGTCTAAATTTGAACAAATTATAAAATCAGTTTTATTGTCAAAGTGGAAACATTTTTTTCTCTCAAACAACACAGTTGTTTGATATTTTAACATTACACTCCCCCGTCAAATTTTGCCTACTAGTATATGGGCATAAGTGAAAGAACATTTAAGTAAATTAATTATTTTATTATTAAATAAATTTCAAAAAAAATCTGTTTTTATACTTACAATTTTGACAACTGCATGAGTTAGGTTAGGAGTGATTAAACATTTCTTCTATTCAAATTTTTCAGTCTTTTTTTTATTCACTGTTTTTCTCTACACTTAATAATTTCTTTCACTACTGGATGAAAATATAATGTTTAATCACTCCTAACCTAACCCAAGCGTGAAATTTATTTAATTTATAAGAAGAAAAAGGATATTACAAATACTAATATTTTTAATATCTCAACTAACTGTAACCTTCTTTTAATGTTATAATCATTTATAATATTTCATAAACAAAACATTTTAACTGAATAAAATCAAGAAACAAAAACAGAAAATTTTTATAAGAGTTTATTTTATTCATCATGTTAATATATTTATAACATTTTTTTCCCGATTTAAAAATAGTGTTTTTATTAATAATTTCCGTAAATATATTTTTTCAGAATAATTTGAATGAAATACTTGACGTCATGTGGAATATGGTATACAACCCCGAAGAGCCAGCATTATTTTTAAGACCAGCCGCACCACGACCACCAGTACCGGCTCCGAGAGCAGCGCCAAGGCGAAATCGTTGGGATCAGAGACCTGCTGCACTAGCGGTACCACAAGTAGAAGAGCAAGCGGCACCGAGAGTCATACGCCGTATTGCTCATGTACCGCGACTACCACGTGAGGTGCCAGTACCGGCTCCGAGAGCAGCACCAAGGCAACCGCAACTACCACGTGAGGTGCCAGTACCGGCTCCGAGAGCAGCACCAAGGCAACCGCGACTACCACGTGAAGTACCAGTACCGGCTCCGAGAGCAGCACCAAGGCAACCGCGACTACCACGTGAAGTATCAGTACCGGCTCCGAGAGCGGCACCAAGCCAACCGCGACTGCCACGTGAAGTACCGGCTCCGAGAAGAGTAATTTGTATTGGTGCTCAACCTCTTAGAGGAACAGCACGTCAACGCCTAACGAAGGCTATGAGGATGTTAGCCACAGCATCCTCAAAAAAGGGGCGTTAATTATCTTTTCGATTTATCTTTTCACATTTCTTTTAGTTTTTTTATTATTTACTCTTTTTTTATAAAGTTTCTCTTTTACAGTAACATTGCATGATTTTTTGTATGGCTCTTTAACATAATCTTTGCTATTACTTTTTTAATTTATAAATTTTGTTTTTTACATTTTTTTTCTCAGCAATAAATCCATTTTTCTCATTTTTATTTTGTATTTTGCACTCGTTTTAATTAAAATACATAGATATCGTTATGTATATTTATAGTTCGTGTGTTAATCTCACAGTACACTGCCATATTGTTTTATACGTTGTTTTCATAATGCATTGTTTTCACATTTACTTTTAGTCATTATTTTTTCATTTTATTTGAATATTGTAGTTTCATTTTGCTTCTTTTCAAAAATGTGCATATGTAAAAAAGATTTTTAGTTTTAATATATATGTAATATATATTACAGGTACATATGTATATTTATGACTCATGTGTTCAAATTCTAATCTCACAGTGGACTGTTCTGTTGTTTTTTATATAGTTCACATTTACTTTTAGTCATTATTTTTTCATTTCATTTGAATATTGTAGTTTCATTATGCTTCTTTTAAAAAATGTGCATATGTAAATAAAAATTTGTTTATTTGAGATATATTATATACGTATATTTATCAGAAGTATTAAATTATTTTTATAATTTACTATGTTATATTTTATTTTGCATATATCATATTTTATTTGCGTTTGCGTTCTTTCTCTGCATGAATTTTACATTATTTTTTTCATCGCTTACATTTAACATCGTTTCAGAATTGACTAAATATTGATTGATTAATTTATAAATTATATTATACTTTTTACAAAACTATATTAACTTTGCTTTTTACTTAACCTTTTTAACGTTAAAATTTACATAACTTCATAATTATACCTTTTAAAGTAAAATTGAATTATTTTTTTAAAAAATAAAATCATAAATCTAACTTATACTAATAGTTAAATTAAACCTTAAATTTATACTTAAAATTAAACCTTAAATTTATACTTAAAATTAAACTTTTTAAATTAGATTTTAATATAAAATTTCTAACGAGTTATATTTTATTTTATAACGTACTAAGTAAAATTTATTTTTTTTTACTTAATCAGAATTAATTTATTACATTAACTATTATGTTGTAATTATTTAAATTTCGCGCGTTACCGACTGCGCGTTTGAACTGTAGGAGCTTCACTTAGCCGCCGCTCACACAAGGTGATGAGAGCGCATGGTGGGGTGAGCGCGTGGTGGGAGTATGACACTTTATGTCTACGAGCTCAGCGGCACTAGCTCATTCGCAGCAGCAGATCAGTCCCGAGTGGTCGATGACGATGGAGAGTTGCTACTGCTATGAGTGCTACGTGAAGAAGGTGTCAATACACAATGTAAGTATTAATAATATATATAATATAGTATAATGTAATATAATGTTAATATTTTTTAGTTGCAGAATCCAGGTATGGAGGTACCGTTCCCGACGACGCCACCGGGGACTCCACCCAAGTATCCCTTGCATCGGCCAGAAACGCCGCCATCCTGGGTGGAGCTGGAGCCTCCACCACCATCTCCAGAGGCTCCAAGAAGACCGGTGGCTGTCGTGAGGCCAAGGGTCCGGGCACAGGAGGTCAGGGCGCCAACACCTCCACCAGAAGCCAGGGCGCCGACACCCCCACCAAGGCCACCGACACCACCACCCGGCCCAGAGAGAAGGCAGCGACGAAGGCGTCATCGCCGCCAAGCTGCCATTATTTTAAATATTAATATTAATTTTTAATAAAAGTTCATTTTTTTTATATATACGTATACATTCTTTTACGCATGCGCGAATGGGTTGGGGTAAATGTAAGAGTGGGGGTAAAAGTTCTAGTGCGCATGCGCGAGCAAAATTTCGGGTATATATTCGGGATCGCGAGCGAATATAGTCATTCTCTCTTCTGTTCGCAGGTGTTCCAGCAGCAGCAGTCTCCCTTGCCATTTAATAACTGTCTTTTTTTTATATTTATTGTATTTATTGTATTATTTGATTTTTATTGTATTTTTTGATATTTATTGTATTTATTGTGTTTATTGTATTTATCTTTTATATTTCTTAGGTTAAGTGTGTTCTTTTCTAGGTTAAGTATTTTAATTTTAAGTTTGCGCTTTTAGGTTAAGTTTAATAGCTTGTAAGTTTAATTTCAAGTGTAGAGATGAAGCGGAAGGCTACATCCACCGATGGACCGCGAAAACATCCAAACTACAAGACCATCCTCGATGAGTGTGACGTCACGATTCCTCTCATCAAGGAAGCTCTGGAGCTGGTGCCAATCCTCAGAGACGTCGACTCAAGACGATCATTTATTGAACGATGGATTGCAGAATGCTCGAGATATGAAAATCTGTTGTCGAGCATTTTGAGATCGATGTATTTTACACATCAAAAGCAGAGATGTGTGAGCATTCTGCAATCCATAATCAGATTTCGCGCTTTGTTTGAGTCACATGTTGTAGATGGCTCTGGAATCGGTGATCCAGACATTAATAAACGCGTTCGATGGGAAGAATGTGAGAGTGCTTTTGCGTGCAGATTGTACACTAATGCGATCCTGAATCTTGTACATATTGATATTAGCGCGTTTTTAGACGATACGTCCACACTTTTCCAGGATCACATTAGGGGTGCTCTAAACAAACATGGCGCTATCTTGGTGTATGGTGTTCTCATCACACATTTTAAAAGGGTTGAGAATGGTGAGGAGGTCGTTAAGCCTATACCTTTTGGTTCTAAGGCTAAAAGTATTTTCCCCACCACTCTCTTAGATGATTGGTTCGATGAGAACATCAAACAACCAATCTTGCGCAGCGTTGAAGAGTTTTACACAAAGGGTTCAAATTGGAACCTTCATTCGATTATAAGGTTAGAAGTCAATGTAAACAAGTACAATCCGATGCGCGCGAGCTCATACATTGACCTACCTCCACAGATTAAAAGAAAGCGAGCATGTATCAATGTGCAAAACAATCATGATAATGAGTGTTTCAAGTGGGCGGTGCTCTCAGCCCTGCATCCTGAAGTATCAGACCCTAAACGTGTAGAAAATTTAAAAAATTTTAAAGATGAGTTAAATTTCGAAGGGATTGAATTCCCAATAGCGTTAAAAAATGTCCCGAAATTTGAAAAATTAAACGATGTTTCGATTAATGTCTATGGTTTATCAAAATATTACGGGGACTTCTCAGTACATTCTCTTCACCTCACTGTGGAGAAAAGAGATAAACATGTAAATCTCCTATACGTTGCGGATATGTATGCGGATGGGAGTGTTGAAGAAAATGTAATATGCGATGGCGGTGATTTTTTGAGTTTCCATTATGTATGGATAAAAAATTTACCTTCGCTAGTATTCAAACAATTGTCAAATCATAAAGGTAAAAAGCATATCTGTGATAGATGTCTACACTATTTCTATTCTGTAGAAAAACTTAATGCACACATTGAAGATTGTAAGAAAGTGAATGAGTGTAAAATAACGCTACCGAAGCCGAAAGACAGTATTATCAAGTTCAAAAACTATAAAAATAGAGAGAAAGTACCGTATGTGATTTACGCCGACTGTGAAAGTTTACTTCTTCCAGCTGATGAAGATGTAAACAATTTGAGTAAGACTGAAGTATTTCAACGCCATAAGCTATTAAGCATAGGCTATTATTTGAATTGTAGCTACGACGAATCTCAATCTGTTTATGTACCATGTCCGAAGCATGAAGCTGATCCAGCTAAATGGTTTGCTGGGGAGTTAAAGCAGATTGCTGAAAAAATTGATGAAGTATTTAAAAATCCGATACCAATGACTGCATTAACTCCTCAAGAAATCAGCGATTTTAAGCGAGCGACAATATGCCATATTTGTCATCAGAAAATAGCAGAAAGCGATAAAAAAGTCCGAGATCATTGTCATCTTACTGGCAAGTATAGGGGTGCTGCGCATGAGTCGTGCAATTTAAATTTTCAAGATTGTCAAACGATCCCTGTAGTGTTCCACAATTTAAGTGGCTATGACGCCCATTTTATAATTCACGCGATTTCAACGAGCTTTGAAGGTAAAATTGATCTCCTCCCCATTAACAAAGAGAAGTATATCGCCCTCACAAAACATTTCAAGGGGAGTGAGGTCAAGTTTCGATTCATTGACTCTTTCAGATTCATGGCATCATCCCTAGAAAAACTCGCATCCTACTTGGACGAGTATAAAATTGTAAACGCCGTTTTTGCCAGTACGGTGACTGATCCAGATAAAATTAAGTTATTAACTCGAAAGGGTGTTTTCCCCTATGAGTACTTTGACTCAAAAAGTAAGCTAGATGAGACAGAATTGCCTCCGAAAGAGAAATTTTACAGTACTCTTTATGATGCCGGTATTTCTGATGAAGATTATGAGCATGCGCAGAAAGTTTGGTCCTAATTTGATTGTCAAAATCTCTACGACTATGTCCACTTGTACATGAAAACAGATGTATTGTTACTTGCCGATGTCTTTGAAAACTTCCGCGAACAATGTGTTATTGCGTACAAGTTAGATCCTGCACACTATTATACGACTCCAGGTTTAACTTGGGATGCTATGCTCAAGTACACGAGTATAGGATTACAACTTATAACCGATATTGATATGATTATGTTTGTTGAGTCGGGTATCAGAGGTGGCATTAGTCAATGTTGCAACCGCTATGCAAAAGCGAATAATCCATATATGGAGAATTTCGACAAAAACGAAGATACAAGTTATCTCATGTACTTCGATGCCAACAATTTGTATGGCTGGGCAATGGCTCAATCGCTCCCTTATGGCGGTTTCAAATGGGTTGAAAATGTTGACGACTCTTTTAATTTTCATGTACCTGACGATTCCCCTGTTGGGTACATCCTAGAAGTTGATTTGGAGTATCCGAAAGACATTCATGATACTCATAAAGACATGCCATTCTGCGCTGA